GACAGCCTTCAATCATATTTTAGGTTTTACAGCAGTAAAAAAAAAACCACAACAAAGCTACCCACATGACTTGGAATAAAACAGAAATGTGTGTAAGTTTGTACCTATTACTACTGCAATCAATTATATTTTATATGAAAAACAAAAAGCCAGCTTTTGCTTATATGCAAAATAGCAAAAAAAAAAAAAAATGCCCCTAGCTCAATCAGGTACTATGAAACACAAAAGATGAGCCTTAGACCAAGACCAGATCTCAGACACTGGTGGCTGTTTGAAGCAAAAACTGCAGCAAGAATCAGCAACTTCACCTTTTGACTGGTCCATAAAGTACATGACGCCACTTCACAAAAATGTGGGATTTTAAAGCATTATCTATATGGCGTAAGCCATATAGCACAGAAAAGTATAGTCTGATGGTATGGCCAGTTTGGGACTATAATACCTTTTCTAGGATTTCAAATGCTGGAGTGAGACAAGGATTCAAAACTTGAAACTGTTCAAGCAGCTCTGCTTAGTATTCTAAACATGCACTACTTAAATAATTCAAACTGGACTGTGCAATGCAGCGCCTTCTAAGCAGGGAAGTCAGCTGAGTGTTGTGCTCACTAGATCAGATAATTTGAGAAATGGGAAGGGCATGGTACAGTGCAGTGAAAATTATTTTTTTCCCAGGACACGCTGGAAAGCAGTTACAAATTAAGCTGTAGACCCTGCAGTACAAGAGCACTAACAAGTCTCTGTCCGTTTATTCACTTTTTAAAGAAAGCATGTGTTACATTGGTATCAGAAAGCTTTCCAGAAAATTTTCAGTAGTAGCTGAGGTAGCCTAACAGTTGGGTCAGTCCTGACGGAGCAAGGTAATGTACATTCAGTGACCTTTAAGAACAACCTTAAATCCTGTGATTTCAAGATGACCTAGCAATTCACTTAGGCCTGTGATTACATATTTTAACAAAGAACTGGGCCTTGGCACATAATCAAGTTTTACTAAACTCATGTCCCAGCATGGGCACTGTTCAGCACTCCATGTTCTGTTGATTAGAAAAGTCACTTTTGTAGATGGAAGTCATCTGGCACAAGTTACTTCAGATCCACACTAGTATAGTTACACTATTATTACATTAATTAGGGGAAAACTTATTCCAGGATAAAAGAATGATTTATTCACTGAAAGTTATTTTTCAATAGGGAAAAAATTTCTAATAAACAGATGAAATCCACCCAATACCTCAACAGCAGTTCTCACTTGCTGTCACAATCCTGGATTAACTGGCATAAGCTACAACAGCCTTTATGTTCCATTCTCACTGCAACAAACTGCAAACTTCTCATTAGCTCCAACAGCAGAGATTTAAGGCAGAAATTGGCAAGCATATTTAAGCGCAACTACATTTTCTTTAACATTACTGATGGGGTACTCTGTTAAATGATTGACAGGAAGTGCATCTGAACACCTTTTATACAAACACCTTTCCACTGAATTGCCAAAGAAATTTGCTTTCAGCATTTGTTGTTACTGCTGCTTCCCACACACCTCAGATCTAGCATAATGCATTTGACAGAGGTTCAAAGGGTTTTTTATAAACTGCCCATGCTAATTGTAGCAGCTAGCACAGGCCTGTAGGAAAAAGTTGTTCTTTTCCTTTCAAACCTTCCACTGTAAATTGAAGACCTCTTTTGAAGGTTTTTCAGCCTTAGAAATGCCTAGAGACTTTGACATTTGAGAACAGTGATCACACAATGGAAGCAAGCAGATCTAGCGTATGGCTCAAAGGCATGCACAGTACTTCCTGAACAGAAAGAGGTAAGTGTGGTTACCTTCAGCTTTTAACGCAGACTTTGCATGTCCTATGGCTTCCCATGGAGACGGAATATCTAGGAATACAGCATCTGCGATGTTTGAGACACCAAACCCGTTTTTGCAGACATCCTGGTTGGTCACGGTGACCAGGTGCTCCACCCCATGCTCTTGAAACTCCTCCCTGGCCTTCTCGGCCCTCTGTTGATGGAACTCCACCGTGTACAGGTGCCCTGTGGGAGCCACTGTCCTGATGAGAGCGTGGGACAGGGATCCACTGCCCGTACCTAGAAAAGACAAACAACGCACAAAATGCCTTTTGACATTAACATGCTAAACATTAGAACAAAGGTCTTCTCCATCAGTCCTCCTGCTTGAACACTCACTCAAAACCCCAATGAACAGAAACCATCAGTTAAATTACTGAAAGAGAACAGTTCTTCCTTCACAAGGAGAGGGGGGCTAAATGACCTAGGAACAGTCTTCAGGATCCTCAAAGCATTAATTAAAAATCTGGCAAACTCAGGACCTGTCCTCTCTCCCTGGAGTAGAAAAATAATGCCAAGGGTCAGCTATAGATGTAACAAGTGCCACAAGAGAACACAACAAGTAAATGCGTCAGGAAAAATTTAGGGGAATTAACCAGAGAGTTTTTTTCAAAGTGTCAGACTCTTCTAGGGTGAAAAGAGATGAAAGCAAATTTTAACATAATTTCAAAACCTTATACTTCATCTAAACAAAGATGTTGCCAAGGGTCCGTGCTTGAAAATCCTGTTGATATCCATGTAAACAAATGGCCTTCAGGATATGGAGTCTGTTTTGCCCAGCCCTCTTAAGAGACACTGGCCATCCGCAGCTCCCACTGACATTATCCAAAACTAAGGTCTGTGGGCTCCTTGCAGTCACACTGACCTGATTTCACAGGTGACTGAGATACATACATGCCTACACAATCTTAATGAAGTCTAATGAGATCCATGACATACCTGAAATTGTAGGTAAGTATAATTACCATGTACAACCAGGGACTAACTATTAAGACACAGATTTTTTTCCTCATTTTCGTTTGATAATTTAGGAAACTTATTTTAAATGATCCATTGGTGTATTAAATAGATGAATGACTAATAACCAGCGTTTTCACTGAAGAAAACACCCATATACCAATTCACATTGCAAATTACTCACTCAAGTGGCATTTAACAGAATAACCCCCCAAACTCAATGCGCCACAGCAACCCAAATTATCTGTGTTTATTGATTTATAATTCTGTACTTGGAACACATTTCTTCTGTAGAAAGAAAATCTATTTCTAGCTATCTTCAATGACTGCTGAGGCTAAATTTCAGCCTGAAGCAAGTTCTTTCAACTAACATAAATCTTAAAATACTTATAAAGGACAGAATCTGAAATATCGCAGTGGTGGAGAAACCTCATAAACTAGCAGAAAGGAAATTAATTAGGGGACACAGGAGCTAATACAGCTGCCTAATTGGAGCAATACTTTCCCTAACCGTACAGGAAGCTAGAGGTTACTGACGGTCCAAGGTTCTTGCCCTCTAGTCACATAAGGGGAGAAACATCGTGGTGGCACTGTACTTAATCCGACAGCTCGGAAAGGGGAGCCATTCAGACTGTAAACAGAGCTCAGGGCCCATGTTTGCCACCGGATCAACTGACTGCACTGCGGAATCAGCCCTGCTCCTCTGCTTCCCTCTGAGAGGGCTCTGACCCCAAGGGGCAGACTAGCACCCTCCCCCCAGCTTTAACGGGGCAGGTTAGATGGGGAGGGAGGACTTACAGATTTTAGCACTGGCCTCAGGGTTCAAGGGAAGAGAGAAACTGTGACACACATTTATTTAAAGTGAAAATCCATGCATTCATGCCAGTATTAAAGTAAACAAAAGGCAAAAGACACTTACATGTGCACACATGAAAAACTAATCTGGTCATGGCACCTGTAGGCTCTAAATGTCAATATAAACTTCTCCCTGGTCAAAAGGAGTAATGGTAGCACAATAGCCATGTGGTTCTAACAACTCAGTGATACAAGTGCAAAGCACAGAAATAACATTTCACTCATTTTTTTTTTTAATGACAAGAGCAGGGGACTATTGTTCACAAGATGCTAAAATGACTGAAATTCTGCCCCTACATTTCATGCCAGAAGGCAGGATTGCATAACTGAGAACTTTTGCAAACTGACGGAATTTAATTATTTTACCTCTCAAATGGGTAATGCTGCACGCTTTCTGCATCTTTCTCTGCTAATCTAAAGGACTGAACAGAAGGCCTGTCGGCACAGCTGGGCTATAAGCAGAAGAGAGGCAGCTTGCGCACGTATCCAGTTTCCTTGTTCATATTCTTTTACATTTTTAATCACTTTCCTTTTAAATCTGCTCTTAAAAACACCACAGAAGATACTGTTTGTCTCCTTCCTAGGAAAACCCATTAAGAATTTTTGGCTGCTTTTCTGGTACTCTTTTTTTTATTCACAAACACTCCAAGCCAAACCCTGAACTAAAACCAGGATATTGGAAGTCACTACTTGCAGGCGTATTACAGACTGAGCTTTTGTTAAACAAGGTTGCCAGGAATTATTTATTGCTGGGTGGCTACCGCAAACATGACAATAATACATATGCATCACATTTTAACATATCAAATTCTATCACACTAACATCATTAACGAGAGTATTTCTGAAGATGCTGCCTGGATCCTCCGTGACAACACTCTCAAAACTGCAGGAAGCAAAGAACAAGGTGGTTATGAATCACCCACCATCGTAATCTCCCTGTGAAGAGATGACAGATTCTGAACCCAGTCCTGTGAAATGATGATGACCCTCAACTCTCATGTGCCCAATAGTTCAGCACGCTTGTCGTGATTCATTAAGAATATAAGGGTCTGGCAGTTCAGCGTGAGTCCATACTCAAGACAACCCCTGAAGCTCATTCAGCGCTGTCTACAGAAGGCAGGGACTCAACCTGATGTTTCGCTGATGTTGTAGAAGGGGAAATTAATGTTTATATTCACCTTCTCCCCTGCAAATCTGCAACATTCAACATTTGGGTCCTCACGCCATCTTCTCTATTCCTTTTCAATTTTTCTCTATCCTTATTTCAAAATCACTACTGACAAAAGCAGAATTCAGCAGAATGTGACTCAAAGAGTCCCAGACACCATTTTGGAACAGGTTCTAGTCAGGTTCAGGTTTCCTTGGGAAATGAAAGGCATCCTTAGCATGATACAGAATCAGTCAGGGAAGCAGCAAAATGCAAGGAGCACTACTGAAACATGAACTAGAATGCTACTAAACCTGAAATACCATAGCTGAATTACCTACATACAAACAAACAAACAAACTGAATGCTCAAAATTAGTATTTTGTATCAGACGAGGCAAGTGAAGAACTGGATAGACTTCAATAGATTTTCATTCTCATACAGGTGCAGTGAAAGACCTGTGTTCCTGATTTGGCCTAGAAAGCAGAAGATAAAGACAATTTCTAGAACAAATATATTTATAATTTTTACACCAGGATGCTTGTCTTTCTGACAGCTTGCACTATAAATAGCCTTAGAAACTGTTTGCTCTCTACCACAGGACAATGCTCATTTAACTAGAGCATATAATCATGAATGGACTCTACAGAAGAGAGGTAAAACGATGACAATTCAAACTGTACCAGACATTCTTAACACCACAGCTGCTGTTTTAGAGCCCACTTAGGTGAGCACTTAGCTCATTGATAATGCCTTTGGAAAATATGATCGTCTTTTACACTGATTATTCTGGGATCTTAAACATCTTAGTCAAAAAGCGGACGTCTGCATTGCAGGAATTTAATGAGACACTGCAGGGTCCCAAATATGCCATACCCAAAGCTCAAAATCTGAGGAGGAGGCACCATGTAGGGGATCAGCATGTAGACTAGGAAAGTGGTCCACCTCAGTCCAAAGGCATGAATTAAGATCCTGTGTTAAAACCAAATCAGTTAGGTGGCTAATGGCCCTGCAGACCAATGTAGTATGCTTCCCTTCTTCTCAGGCTCAAGCACACTGTGTTTGTCTTCTCTGATACATCTAAGATCAGGGGAGTGTTTCTGCCCTCTCCCAACATTGCAGTTTTAGAAGGATTTCAATCCTAACAAGTGAACACCTAGATGAAACACTCTAGCTCAGCACCTACTGATATTTCCTTCTGATTTGTAGACAAGAAAGTATTGATCAGATGATCTACCTGATCATTCCCCTCACCTCAAACAGATCTGTTATTCTCACTCTCTGCTTATTCAAGTGATAGGTTTTCCACAGACCTCAGCCATCTTGAGACAATGTCCACATTAAGATAATTTTTCACCTTTTGAAAGCTGCAGTGGACAACATCTCAGTTGTTCAAAAATAGCATGTGCTATTTCAATACAGTATAGATACACATCAGAACACTGTCAAGGGAACCATGAGTGTTACCACGGCATCTAGCATAGCACTTGACTGATAACTGAGTAAGAGAGTTCATTTTTACACTGTTTTCTGTTTAGTCTGGTTTTCTTATTGCAAAGGGTATTTGTCTAATCTCCTGGAATCCCATCCATGCTATAAACACAAGTGACCTGATTCTGTGTTCCACTACATTTCCTCATTGCAGGCTATTGCTTTCCTTGTCTCTCCTAAAAATTTCTCATCATGGCTGCTTCTTTTTAAAAAAGGAACAACAAATTGTGATTTAGGATGTAGAGATGTTTACAGCTATGCATAAGCAAAAGCATTTTGGAATAAAGCTGAAGAAGCTCTTAAGTGCATACATAGGTTCATATTGCCTGGAAACAGAAAAAGTGAGAAATACGCAGAGTATTATTTAATATTGGGTCTCTACAATATCTAGTAACATTTTAACAGAACTGAAGTTTCTGCTGCAAAATTTGGCTACCTAAGATATTCTAAAATGAGTAAATACAACAAAACAAGGACAGTGTTGCTGTATTTGTCTCCTAGCTACACCACTTAGACCTAGCAAATAAGAAGACAGGTCATGAGTCAGCCATGAGAACGGAAGGAGCCCCAAAACCAAAGGAAAATTAATCTTTAGACTGAGCTAACAATGCCACAGCTAGTATCTGTCGAGAAACACTGAACAGAGGAAGACGGCTCACTGTACATGACAAGTTTATGTAACTGGAGAATCATTAATGATTTTTAGCAAATATATGAAGATACATTAAGCATCTGATGGAAACTAACCCAACCATCTTACTGTGAAGATAGTCAAGGGAACAAATCATGGTTGCAGAGGTGAGAAACAGCAAGAGCAGGGACACAGTGAGGGAAGAGGAGACGGAGGGGAAGA